TTCCTATTTATTAGTTCAAAACAGTTAGCATGTGTTTGTAGACAACTTGCATTTATATAAATTATGCAGTATTTCCTTTTTTTTCAGACAGAGTCTTGCTCTGTTGCCCAGGCTGGAGTGCAGTGGCGCAATCTCAGCTCACTGCAACCTCTGTCTCCCGGGTCCAAGTGATTCTCTTGAGTAGCTGAGATTACAGGCGCCCATCATCATGCCCGGATAATTTTTGTATTTAGTAGAGACGAGGTTTCACCATGTTTGCCAGGCTGGTCTTCAACTGTTAACCTCAGGTGATCATCCTGCCTCAACCTCCCAAAGTGCTGGGATTACAGTCATAAGCCACTGCACCTGGCCTAAATTATACAGTATTTTCTACAATAGTATGAATATAAGACCATAATATTTATTGAGTGAATTTCTTAAATAGTCATTTTAGTATTATTCATACAAAGTTTTCTTTTTTAATTTCTTTTGTTTTATAAAGACGGGGTTTCACCATGTTGGTCAGGCTGGTCTTGAACTCCCGACCTCAGGTGATCCGCCCACCTTGGCCTCCAAAGTGCTTGGATTACAGGTGTGAGCCACCACTCCCAGCCTTCTTTTTTTTTTTTTTTTTGAGACGGAGTTTTGCTCTTGTTGCCCAGGCTGGAGTGCAATGGCGTGATCTTGGCTCACTGCAACCTCTGCCTTCTGGGTTCAAGTGATTCTCCTGCCTGAGCCTCCTGAGTAGCTGGGATTGATTACAGGTGTACGCCACCATGTCCAGCAATTTTGTATTTTTAGTAGAAACAGTTCCTTCATGGTGGTCAGGCTGCTCTTGAACTCCCAACTTCAGGTGCTCCACCTGCCTTAGCCTCCCAAAGGGCTGGGATTATGGGCATGAGCCACCACACCTGGCCTGAAATATGAAGTATTATAACGAAATTATGGCTACAGAAAATTTTTAAAAATTCTACATTGTTACTAGTATGTTAAAATCATTTATACTTAGATACTGATATCTAATATCCAAAAAATTCACTACAAAATTGTTATAGTAGATGTTAGTCTGACATGAGTATTAATTCACCCAATAGAGATAATTACAGATAAGCATGCTTTCAGTATCTTTTATTTTTCTAAACTTGAATGCTTCTATTATAGTACAAATAAACGTGATGGATGATGTGGTCATGCAAAAAATAGAACAGCTTTTAAGTTAGCTATATTGTAAGCTCAAATATATTTGTGAAATATATAAACGAAGTCAGATTCCAGTTCTTCATCAACAAGTGTTGGTGGGCCGGGTGTGGTGGCTCATGCCTGTAATCCAAGCACTTTGGAGGCCAACGTGGGCGGATCACCTGAGGTCTGGAATTCAAGACCAGACTGACCAACATGGTGAAACCCTGTCTTTAAAAAAAAAAATTTTTCTTTTGAAAAAGTAAAAAAGAGAAAAAGAAAAAAAAAAGTATTGGTAAAGCTGGGTGCCGTGGCTCACACCTGTAATCCCAGTACTTTCGGAGGCCGAGGCGGGCGGATCAGGTGATCAGGAGTTCAAGACAAGCCTGGCCAACATGGTGAAACTCCGTCTCTACTAAAAATACAAAAAATTAGCCAGGCATGGTGGCACGTGCCTGTAATCCCAGCTACTCGGGAGGCTGAGGCAGGAGAATTGCTTGAACCCAGGAGGCAGAGGTTATGGTGAGAATAGATCATGCCATTGCACTTCAGCCTGGGTGACAGAGTGAGACTCATCTCAAAAAAAAAAAAAAAAAAGTGTAGGCTTGGACGCTGTGGCTCACGCCTGTAATCCCAGGACTTTTGGAGGCTGGTGGATCACCTAATGTCAGTAGATCAAGACCATCCTGGCCAATATGGTGAAACCCCATCTCTTTAAAAAAAAAAAAAAAAGTATTGGTGAAGGCTGGATGTGGTGGCTCACCTCTGTAATGCCAGCACTTTGGGAGGCTGAGGCGGGTGGATCACGAGGTCAAGAGATCAAGACCATCCTGGTCAACAAGGTGAAACCCAGTCTCTACTAAAAATACAAAAATTAGCTGGGCATGGTGGTGCGCGCCTGTAGTCCCAGCTGCTTGGGAGGCTGAGGCAGGAGAATTGGTTGAACCCAGGAGGCCGAGGTTGCGGTGAGCTGAGGTTGTGCCATTGCAGTCACTCCAGTCTGGGTAACAACAGCAAAACTCCGTCTCAAAAAAAAAAAAAAAAGCTCTAGTCTAGTGCTCAGGGGGTAAAGAGCCATTGCTTTAAAATGTAAATAGCTAAGAAGATAATACCCTAAGTTACAAAATTACCTCCTGTCATGAGGATGTAAAAAGTTAATTTTGAGCCCAGGCCTGTAATTCCAGCACTTTAGGAGGCCGAGGCAGTTGGATCACGAGGTCAAGTGATCGAGACCATCCTAGTCAACATGGTGAAACCCCGTCTCTACTAAAAATACAAAAAATTAGCTGGGCATGGTGGCGCATTCCTGTAGTCCCAGCTACTCAGGAGGCTGAGGCAGGAGAATTGCTTGAACCCAGGAGGCGGATGTTGCGGTGAGCTGAGATCGCGCCATTGCACTCCAGCCTGGGTCACAAGAGTGAAACTCCATCTCAAAAAAAAAAAAAGGGAACAGAAGTGGGTGAACTTTTTCTGAGAGTCTTAGTCCTTCTGTCTGTAGGTGTAGTGGTAACATGTAAACAAGTGGTCCTGGCCCTTTTAAAGATAAATTGTCAAGATGCAGGTGTAGTTTGTCAGAAAAATCTCATCTGAAAATAAATCTGAGAAGGAGGAGATAGAGTAAAAGGGGACATTTTTTCAGCTAAACTTGTCTCAGATCAAGAGCTGTGTCCACTCTGCCTCTTGGTATGCTATACATTTAGTACTTGCAAACCTTGACTTCTGGACTTGTGTTTTTTCTCCCTAATGAGTTTGTTTTAACTACTTAAAAAAAATTTTTAAGATAATGTAGGGTCTCTGAAAAATATTTCTTTCCTATGTGTCAGAGCCTTCTCTAAATTTTCTGCCTTAGAGCTTGCTTTTTTTTTTCTCCATGTTGGCCAGGATGGTCTTGAACTCCTGACCTCAGATGATCCTGACCTCAGATGGAGGCCTGCCTCGGCCTCCCAAAGTGCTGGGATTACAGGTGTGAGCCACTGTACCCAGCTACCTTACCGCTTTTTATATGCCTTGTAAAATTCTCACCATTAATTATTGATCCGCAGCATTAAAAATGTTCTTTTTGTGGTTGTTGAACATGGAAAAGTGTGGATACTCAAGATTACCATTGGAAAAGCTGGGATCCTTAGTAAAGATGGAGAACATGTAATGTTGAAGTTCCATTTGTGTTTGCTGTTAGTCCTGTGTAGAACAGAATAAAGAAAATGCTTATTTAAAGAGGATGGCATTTATTACCCAGAAAGTTTTGAAAAAAATTATCAGGACATACCTGTTCTCTAAGGTGCTAAAGAAAGACTATTTAAAATCACTATTAAAAATTATAGAACATAGCTGGGTGTGGTGGCTCATGCCTGTAATCCCATCACTTTGGGATGCCGAGGCAGGCGAATCGCAAGGTCAGATGGAAACCATCCTGACTATCATGGTGCAACCCTGTCTCTACTTTTTTTTTCCTTTTTTTCCTGTCTCTAATAAAAATACAAAAACTTAGCTGGTTGTGGTGGCACGCATCTGTGGCCCCAGCTACTCAGGAGGCTAAGGCCAGAGAACTGCTTGAACTCGGGAGGCTGAGGTTGCAGTGAGTCGAGATCGCGCCACTGCACTCCAGCCTGGGTGACAGAGCGAGACTCTGTCTCAAAAAAAAAAAAAAAATTACAGAACATAGAAAATACCTGTATCTTGAACTTTGCATACAACTGATGTTTCAGTATGATTGAATTTGGACTATAAATTACTTATTGGTAGCAATATTCCAGCATCAATGCTGGTCCTTCTGTGTGTTTTAGCACATCATAAAAGTTTATCCTATTGCAGTTGATGCTAGTGATTCACTTGGTTAAAGAGCTCTCTCACAGATTTTTTTACTCTAGAATTGTTTTTCTCTTTTTGAAGCTGATTTGCATAAATCATCAAATTTAATCTGGCAACTGCTCTTCTCTCAAGGTTTCTTTGCATATATCTGTCTTTGGAAAATGAAGGCTTTCATCCCTCTTTTTTATAGGCCATAAAAAATGGGGAAAAACCCCAGGTTCTTTCACTTACTGGATGTTTGATAAAATACTCTTTTTAGGGCAAAATTATTGGTAATTACTTGTGAGCTTGTTGAAAATTTAGCAACTCAGACTTTATTCCAGATCTTCTGCCCCCTCAAAAAATGGCATAACAAGATCTCCAGTCTAGTTTATTTTATATATTAAAATTAGAAGCTGGATGTGGTGGCTCATACCTGTAATCCCAGTTTTGGGAGGTGGAGGCGGGTAGATCACAAGGTCAGGAGTTCGAGACCAGCCTGGCAAATGTGTTGAAACGCTGTCTCTACTAAAAACACAAAATTAGCCAGGGGTGGCGGCACACAGCTGTAGTCCCAGCTACTCAGGAGGCTGAGGCAGGAGAATCACTTGTACCTGGGAGGCAGAGGTTGCAGGGAGCCACGATGGTGCCACTGCACTCTAGCCTGGGTTACAGAGCAAGACTGTGTCTCAAAAAAATTGAGATGTACCTTCTAACTCAACAAGTCTTTTTCATCTCAAGAATATACAGAACTCATTCATTCTGTATAATGTAAATATAGCACTCAAAAATGTACATATTATGTTCATGCCCTTAATTTTATAGTTTATTATCCAGAAAATTATCATATAGAACTGATGGTGTGGATCTTATTCCACTCTTCTCTCATAGAGAGTATAGCAGAGTATTTCTGTGTTTAAAATTATTTTATTTGGATAATTTCCCGTCACTTTTTAAGTCAGAACCAGTTCTCTTTAGAATTCCATTTCAACTTGAGTCAGTTTCAAAATTTTGCCCATGGCCAGTTGGTAAATATATGTATGTGTGTTTTTCAGAGACCACTGACATTTATGGATGTGGCCATAGAATTCTCTCTGGAGGAGTGGCAATGCCTGGATACCACACAGCAGAATTTATATAGGAATGTGATGTTAGAGAACTACAGAAACATGGTCTTCCTTGGTGAGAATAACTTCAATACACAATTGCTAATATACCCTAAAGATTTTATTTTATTTGTAGAATATTTTTTGGTAATTTATCTTGGCATAAATGAGTATCAGATTTCTATTTTTAAGAAAATCTTCGGGGCCAAGTGCGGTGGTTAATGCCTGTAATCTTGGCACTTTGGGAGGCCTTGGCAGGTGGATTACCTGAGATCAGGAGTTCAAGACCAGCTTGGCCAGCATGGTGAAACCCCTGCTCTACTAAAAATACAAAAATTAGCAAGGCATGGTGGCACATACCTGTAGTCTTAGCTACTTGGGAGGCTGAGGCAGGAGAATCACTTGAACTCCAGAGGTGGAGGTTGCAGTGAGTTGGGATGACACCACTGCATTCCAGCCTGGGTGACAGAGCAAGACTCCATCTCAAAAAAAAAAAAGAAGAAGAAAAGAAAGAAAATCTTGGGGATTTGTCATTGTTGGAAAAAATAAAAATTTCAAGATGTTTAATCTTGATCTGAACTTTTTATGTTCCTGATCTGTAGCCTTTAAATTAGTGTTAATTCCAGAAATTTCGTGGCATAAAATATTGTTTTCTGTACCTTAAAATCTAATTGTCATCCCCAGTTTTTGATTCAGTAGTACTAAGTTTAGTAAAATTAAGAATCTACAAATTAAAAAAAAAGAACCTACAAATTTAAAACATTTTCTAAATATTTAGAAATATTTCTGTTTTAAATTGGCATTTTATAATTAATTTACTGGAATATTCTACATCCTCTTTACTGAGCACATTATTTGGAGAATATGAGCAACATTCATGTTACTTATTTTTAATAAAACAGGTATTGCTGTTTCTAAGCCAGACCTGATCGCCTGTCTGGAGCAAGGCAAAGAGCCCTGGAATCTGAAGAGACAGGAGATGGTGGCCAAACCCCCAGGTAGGTGAGAGTGAATACAACAGATGACATAGATGAGAGGTCCAAATATCAAGGAGAAAGTCAGTTTTTGAAATATGACTTGCGAGCTGTGCTCTAAGTAGGTAGTTTCTGAGAAGCCTGAGGTTTATAAGTTTACAATGAGAGCCAAAATCCCCTTTATGGCATATACAAGACTGCAAGATCTGTTTTTTTTTTTTTTTTGGGGGGGGGGGGTTTGGGGGGGAACGGAGTTTCGCTCTTGTTACCCAGGCTGGAGTGCAATGGCGCGATTTTGGCTCACCGCAACCTCCACCTCCTGGGTTCAGGCAAGTCTCCTGCCTCAGCCTCCTGAGTAGCTGGGATTACAGGCACACGCCACCATGCCCAGCTAATTTTTTGTATTTTTAGTAGCGACGGGGTTTCACCATGTTGACCAGGATGGTCTGGATCTCTTGACCTCGTGATCCACTCGCCTCGGCCTCCCAAAGTGCTGGGATTATAGGCGTGAGCCACCACGCCCGGCCTGATTTTTTTAATATATGAGATTATATGATCTACCAACAGCAGATTTTTAACTTATTTGTCTTCGATGTTAATGGCTTTTTAGAAATTATTTTGACTTTTAATAGCACTTTGAGAAAAAAGAAAAGAAAAAATTACTCTGACTAATTCTTTTGCCACATACTTTTAGTGCTATGTTAAAATAGAAGCATTGACATTGGGCTCAACATAGTTTTGCATTGTGTCTGTGAATTTGAAGAAACAAACACCTCTTCAAGTTTTTATAAACTGGTTTCAGGGGGTAAAGATCTTGTGTTGGCCCCCCAGGATAATGAGATGCCCTCTAGATTTGTAATGAGGGGTTGTAGGTTGCTCACAAAGCTGCTGGGTCTGCATAATGGTTTACCTTTAGTTGGCTTATTACAAGGGGCTCGGGTAGTTGTAAATTTTATTTTTGGACAAACTGAATATCCTTCAGGACTTTGATCTGTAGGGCACACACTAGGCAGGATTCTGTTGTCAGGTCTGCATATGGTGAGCCTTACATCAGGACGAGAATGTGTATAGCGTTCACTGAGTATCAGAGGATTTTCCCAGGTCCCTGTGTGGGTTTCTATGTAGACAGAACTGGCCATGAACTATGGACCAGAGAGCTTGGACTGAGTCATGGAATTGCTTCAGGGACCACAGTAAAGGCTAAGGTCTTGCAAACTTGCCTGCATGGCTATAAATTGGTGTTTTCCTCCAGACCTCTGGAAGGGCAGGACATCTCCCAGACCTAGACTGGGAGGAGTTTGAGATGGTTACAGGATAAGTTCAGATTTCTCAGTGGGACCAAGTTGGGTGGGCTCTTTTTTAGTCTATAGCCAAGAAGAGAGGTCCTGTAGTTTGCCACCTGAATGAAAGCCTGACTTCTGAAAAGGATGCTCCTCAGTCTTAGACTTTAACAGAGTTTCACAACTCCCTCCTTGGATCTCAAAGCTCTCTTTTTTAAAACATTTTTTATTTTTATTTTTTGGAAATGGAGTCTCATCTCTATCACTCAGGCTGGAATGCAGTGGCTCAATCTCAGCTCACCACAACTTTTGCCTCCTGGGTTCAAGCAATTCTCCTGTCTCAGTCTCCTGAGTAGCTGGGATTGCAGGCATGCACCACCAAGCCTGGCTAATTTTTATATTTTTAGTAGAGATAGGGTTTCACCATGTCGGCCAGGCTGGTCTTAAACTCCTGACTTCAGGCGATCCACCCTACTCAGCCTCCCGAAGTGCTGGGATTACAGGCGTGAGCCACCATGCCTGGCAGGTTCTTGGCTGCATGCCCCAAGCCAGACTTGAAATTTTGGCGTGAAGCAATTTTTTTTTTTTTAAAGACGGTGTTTCACCATGTTGGTCAGGGTGGTCTTGAACTCCCGACCTCAGGTAATCTGCCCACCTTGGCCTCCAAAGTGCTTGGATTACAGGCGTGAGCCACCATGCCTGGCTAAAGCAATTCTTTAACCTCAATATACCATGTAGCTGTCATCACAGTTATGAGCCATGATCCCTGGCTCTCTCATAAAGACATTTTTGTCAAGGAGACTGACAAATTTTCCTGCTGTCAGGGGATTAAAAAATAAATCACCTTTTATTTTCCCATCCTATTGATGTTACTCTATTCATTTTACTTTCTACTTTCTATTTCAAATTTGACTCTAGCTTTGGATTCATACGATTAGGACACTATGTTAGAATTTAAATGTTATGCTTGAAGTAAATTAGATACTTAGTAGGCACACTATTTACTAAAATAGTTACTTATAAATTTGTTTGCTGCAGGCAAAAAGGAATTCTAGAATTTACACCCAGTTTCTTCAGCCTATACCTAAATAAAAACATAATTTATTCCCAAATATTTGTTTCATATATATCAGAGGCTTTAATTATATTCTGGAAAATATATTTATTTATTCATTCATTCATTCATTCATTCTGAGACAGAGTCTTGCTCTGTCACCGGGCTAGAGTGCAGTGGTACAATCTCACCTCACTGCAACCTCCCACACCCTGGTTCAAGCTATTCTTCTGCCTCAGCCTCCTGAGTAGCTGAGATTACAGGCATGCGCCACCTTGCCCAGCTACTTTTTGTATTTTTAGTAGAGACGGGGTTTTACCATGTTGACCAGGATGGTCTTGATCTCCTGACCTTATGCTCTGCCTGCCTCAGCCTCCCAAAGTGCTGGAGTTACAGGCGTGAGTCACCACATCTGGCCTTCTTTCTTTCTTTTGAATTTAGCAACATGAGGCTATTCTTTGCTTTTAAATTTGATTTTTTTTTTTTTTTTTTTTTTTTTGGAGGCGAAGTCTTACTCTCTTGCCCAGGCTGGAGTGCAATGGCATGAACTCAGCTCAGTGCAGCCTCCGCCTTCTGGGTTCAAGTGATTCTCCCGCCTCAGCCTCCTGAGTAGCTGGAATTACAGATGTGTACCACCATGCCTGGCTAGTTTTTTGTATTGTTAGTAGAGATGGGGTTTCATCATGTTGGCCAGGCTAGTCTCAGAACTCCTGACCTCAAGTGACCCCCCCACCTCAGCCTCCCAAAGTGCTGGGATTACAGGTGTGAGCTACCATGCCCAGCCTGCTTCTAAATTTGAATTACCTCAGTTTCATTCTGTATACAAATAACATTTAAAATATGAAAATTACCTCTTTTTTATAATACTAATTTAGTGAAAGTTTCTCATTAGAATCTTCTATTTATGATTATACTGCATTTTCTCTGATATTTTACTGCTATACAGTTCATGCCAGTGATTCAAAATACCTGGCTTTTATGAGTACACAGTTACAGTCAAATATTGTGGTTATCTAGACAAAATTTTTTTAATGCCACCTCAATGTTGCCTACCAGAATTTATGAGTAAACATTTTCCTTATTATTATTTTGCAGTTTTTTTTTTTGTTTTTTTTTTTTTGAGACAGTTTCGTTCTTGTTGCCCAATCTGAAGTGCAATGGTGTGATCTCAGCTCACTACAACTTCCGACTCCCAGGTTCAAGTGTTCTCCTTCCTTGGCCTCCCTAGTAGCTGAAATTATAGGTGCCCGACACCATGCCTGGCTAATTTTTTGTATTTTTAGTAGAGGTAGGGTTTCACTATGTTGGCCGGACTGGTCTTGAACTCCTGACCTCAGACAATCCACCCGCCTCAGCCTCCCAAAGTGCTAGGATTACAGGTGTGAGCCACTGTACCCGGCTCATCACACTTTGTTAAATAATGAATATACATTTCCTTTGTGAGAGAACCACATTTCTGATTTGAAGTTAATTTTTGAAAAGATTTGTAATTCTGTACTTTTTCAGTTCTTCTAAAAAACTTATAAAAACAGACAACATAAAATTTACCATTTCAAATCTATTTAAGTGTACATATTAGGGCTATGCATGGTGGTGGCTCACATCTGTAATTCTAGAATTTTGAGAGGCCAGGAAAAGAGAATCACTTTAGTCCAAAAGTTTGAGATGACTGGCATGTAAAGACCCTTTCTCTAGAAGAAGAAAAAATTTAAAAATAACCAGGCATGGGTTGTGTGCATCTGTAGTCCCAGCAACTTGGGAGATTGAAGAGGGAGGATTACTTGAGACTGGGAATTTGAGGCTACAGTGAGCCATAATTGAGCCACTGCATTTCAGCTTTGGTGACAGAGTAAAACCTTGTCTCAAAAAAGCTGTAAATTTTAGGCATGTAGAGTATATTCACCTGACTATGCAAAACACTTCTCGAAATTCTACAACCTGTAAAATTAAAACTCAATATCCATTAAGTAACAACTGCCCATTTCCCCCTTTCTGCAGCCCTTGACTAACACCCTTCCACTTTCCATTTTTACAAGTGTGACTCTTTAACATATCTCATATGAGTGGAATCATATAGTATTCATCATTCCGTTACTGGCTTATTTCAGGTGATGCAATATTTTCAAAGTTTATCTTAAAATTTGACAAGTTCTTTTTTTTCTTGAGACAGAATCTCTCTCTGTTACCCAGGCTAGAGTGCTTGCAACGGAGCAATCTCTGCTCACTGCAACCTCCGCCGCCCAGGTCAGGCAATTCTCTTCCACTTCAGCCTCCCGTATAGCTGGAATTACAGGCACCCACCATCATGCCTGGCTAATTGTTTTTGTATTTTTGTAGAACGGGGTTTCACCATGTTGCCGAGGCTGGTCTTGAACTCCTGACCTCCGGTGATTTATCTGCCTGGGCCTCCCAAAGTGTTGGTATTACAGACATGAGCCGCTGCACCCAGCCAAGATTTTTTTTTGAGATGGAGTTTCGCTCTTGTTACCCAGGCTGGAGTGCAATGGCGCAATCTCGGCTCACTGCAACCTCCGCCTCCTGGGTTCAGGCAATTCTCCTGCCTCAGCCTCCTGAGTAGCTGGGATTACAGGCACGTGCCACCGTGCCCAGCTAATTTTTTGTATTTTTAGTAGAGACAGGGTTTCACCATGTTGACCAGGATGGTCTCGATCTCTTGACCTCGTGATCCA